CTGCGGTCATTGACCTACAAATTCCAGCCTAATCTCGATGTTTCCTAGCGAAATCCTAGTGTCCATGTTTTGATGTTTCTTCCGCGATCTTGTTTTCTCCTATCAGAGGTTTGGCCATTAGTGTATTGCCATCATCTGACAAGTTTTGACAGATTATAACTAACGTCAACGTTATTTGGGGACAATTTCTTGTGTATCTATAGCCTTACATCAGGTCGTGGCAGCAAATAAAACACATTAGCCTGGTAACGGAAACCAGTCTGATTCCATGAGATGTTAAACGTTTCTTTAAGTTACGTTAACGTTACACGCGAATTGATATCTAACGTTAGTAATTCCCTGTGGTTGTACGGAAAAAAATCATATAACATTGACGCCAAAAGGCCAAATTATGTGGTCACTTAAAATGACGTAGCAACTTGATGTGGATACTCTGTTACGTCAGGGACATACTAGAGATAATGGCCTTGGTTACTAGTACGTTAACGTTTGTTCAGAAACATGGTGCTAGCCAAGAGCCATCCCTGAAATCAAGAAAACACAATGAAAGCTAGAAGCAATTCGCTCAACTTTTTTTCAGTTGTTATCAACCCTGTTTTCTGTTGTTGCTGTTGTTTAAATTTGGCTGTTTAAACATTTAACGCTGTGTACTTGTAGCCGTCTCAGGTGGTCACACTACCACCCTGAACGGACAACGTGACCGACATGTGCAAGTTCTCACGGGACCGTACATATATATAAACTGTAACAATCATCAGAGTACAGTAACGTTACATTGATACTTAGCAGTTTGAACTGTTATCAAAGTTACGCAGAACGTATATAACAATAATATGCCAATAAGTTTAACCAACAATTAGACCCTGTTCATACCAGACTTATATTTAGCGGTTTCAACCGGTTTTTCAAAAACCGGTTTTTATTTAACCTGGTGTGAACGCAAATTAACCGGTTTTTTAGGGGTTTAAATCCGATTTTGAAAAACCACCTCGGGAGGTGGTTTTTGAGGGGTTTTTGTGGGGTTTTTCCACCGAAAAACCTGGTCTGAACGCTAAGGGTTTATTGAACCGGTTTTTGCGTCATAATTCCGGGGTCACGGGGTCAGCATCCTGACCGTGTGCGACCTGCAAGCTTTTTTGATCGCGTTGTTTTGACCAACTTGAGTTAGTTTCCACTGTTTTTCCACGGTTTTTCTTCATTTTGCGATGGAATCAGCATATGCAACCTGGTCGGCGGACGAGACGCTCCTGATACTTAGGTTTGGAGAGCAGGAGTCGCCGAATTCGAAAAAGCTGGGGGGGGGGGGGCGGCGGAGGGCTCTACCGAAACAAAAATGTTGGAGGAGGCTGATTTCTTGAAGATAAAGGATCAGTGCCGCAGTAAGGTAAAACAAAAACAAACTGAAGACGGCATACAAGTAAGAAGGCCAAGGACAACAATCGGAAGAGCGGGAGGAACGGTTATTCAAACTGCAGTCATCATCAGGCCTTGCAGTCATCTGCATTGGATATTCACCGGACAGAATTTTTTAAAAAACGGTTATCAAAAGTCTGGTATGAACGCTAAGGGTTTTAGCCGGGTTTTTGAAAAACCGGTTGAAACCGCTAAATGTAAGTCTGGTATGAACAGGGTCTTATCTTCTAATTTGCCGTGTGCCGAGTACGTAACTCAAATCAGATAAAAACATTTTTTTTTCAAATTGTACAAGTATACACAATGTTCAATGGTCTTCTATAATTAAACTTAAGATTTGGAGAGTAAATAACAATTGTTTGTGACGTGACGATTAGGAAGATTTAAGAGTTAACAACCTCCATGGAGTAAGTAAGAAAATATTTATAGTAATGATGTGGATGGCCAGGCAAACA